TTTAGTTCTTACTCGCAGAAAAGATAAGCATAAGAAGAACAATGATTATAACTGGTTTAAATCCTCTTATTTGATAGTCAAATATCTTTAAACATATATTTTTTAATGAAGAAATCTTCCAATGTCGAAAGAGAGTAAGTTTAAAATGCTTCGTTGTCTTGAACTGAAAATTTTTTCTCTAAAATTTAATATAACTTCCTCTAGGAAGCAAAACCATTTCATTTTACATACCTAATTAATTTTGTTTTGAGGATTAATTCAAATATTTGTCGGATATTCATGTATAAAAGATCATTGAATTTGCGTTCAAGCATGTCAGAGAGCATTTGGTATGTTTCTTCACATCCAATTCGGAATATATTTCGGTGCAAATTTTTTTCAATGGTTTCAAATCCAATTCTCGTTAGAAAGCTATTGAATTGTGTTAATCTCATTTCCGATACTGATCGCAATATTACGGCACTTTACTGTAAGGGTACAATACGCTCTTAGCAGAGAGGACATCTCACTTGCATCCATTTCAACTGGTTTCAATTTGCGCAAACCCATGTCGAACTGATAATGGAGGTCACTTACAAATGTAAACGATATTTTTTACTCGGGTAAAAAATTTAATTTCCATACCATCATAATCTTATAAAAATTGAAATATTTGTTCATTATTTCCTCCGACATTGACTTTTTTGCGTCATTTATCTGGTGCCATAACAAATGAGGAGTATGTTCTATTAATGGATAGTCTTTCGATGATGAAAACGGACCCTGACAGTCGGTACAGTACTGCACATTGTAGTGGCATACAACGTATTCGAATCATTTTAATGGTTCATGGTTTCAGTATACACCCCGGTCAAGGTTTTTGTTACTAAATGGGATGGTAATTTTGTTTTTATTTTCAATCCTGGGTCCGCGACCCCTTCGCAGCCAGCAGCATTTCCTTTTTTAGCAGACAACCTGGCCGGGTCGCTGAGTGCCTCGTTTCGCGTGGCTGGCGGCCTCTCAGAGCGAGCCAGTATTTGCGCACGGGGTCTGCGTCCGTGCAGTAGACTGCGGAGCAGACACGAGGTCTTTTCTGCGTCCGATTTGCTTGCCTGCTTACGCCTGTTTACGCCTGCTTACGGCTGTTTTTCACGGTACAATATCCATTCATGTTCTCTTGTACCAAAAACATGACTGACCTGACCGGAGTGGAAGATATTATACAAAACTAGCGGGAAAACGCGGGAAACTGAAGCTATTCCCTTTCTTAGTGTCAGCACTTATATTTCAAAAGCGAATATTTATTTAAAATGCTCGATGTCATTTAAAAATATAAAGTTGAGGGATAAATTGCATTGAGAAAGAAATATGTGGCTTTATTGAAGATACAGGACTGGTTAAAAATTCATTTTGAACTTTGTAATTTTTAGGGTTTTAGTGAAAGTAGGTACAATACAATTTTTCTAAATGAACTTTCTTATACTACATTGTAGTGAGGAAAGAAATTGGAGTCTCTTTCTAAAAAATGTTGAAGCTTATGTTTGATTTATTCATAGATTGTTTTAATGATTCCTGGAACGTGAACAACCAGAGTCATTAGTCCCGTGCGTGTAGTGCATGTTTTTGCTCGGGAGGTGACGGTGATCTTTCCATCGCAGTATGGTGAGATCCGGCGCCAACTTACTGACGGCTAGCGGGCTTTTCCTCAACCAAGTATCTCTGGCCCAGCCGGGACAAGCTCTAAGCTCCCCAGCGGTCTTCCAGCATATGTGCTTGTGTAGTGCGTGTGTGTGTGTGCAAGGGAAGACGATAGAAGGAAGAGGTAGGAAAGATCGAGTGCGGTCCGTGGCACGTTTGCTAGAGTAGCATTCGCAGGGTGTTGATCGGAGAAACCACGGAAAACTACCGATCAGAGCAACCGACCGCTAGAATTCTTTACATGAAACACCTGGGATATTTTCAAATATTTCTCCAAAGTTTTTCTTCATATTTATTAGGAAGCAAATAGTGTGAAATATTAATTCTATAAGATGGTATTATAAAGGTAGAATATGTCTAATTTTAACTGTCAACTCCAAGTTTTCGTAAATTTTAAAAGTTTGAAATGTTTTTGGTGTCTTTCTACAATATTCATGTTAGATATTTTTCTTTATTTTAAAAATCTTGAGCACAATTAGTTCTTTAATTAATGTCACGTACATATTTTGAAAACATAAGTTGTTTTCCTTAATTCGGATTAAAATGTGGACAATACTTTAAAAAGTATTAAAAACATTTTTTTTTTCAAAAACGGCTTCAAGTGTGTTCTCGAAAATGCCTTACAGGTTCTCCTTTACAATGATCTTAAAGTCATATTTCAATTCTATCAGAAGTCCGGAAAATTGAGAAAGTGTGAAAAAACTCGTTTTGGCGCTGAAAGGTTGTGGGCTAGCTGAGAAAAGGGTAGGGAAATACCTGAAATCTAGTCTAGACCGACAAGAGTAAAAAACTAAGTAGTGTGAGTGCCATTCTGCAGCGCCACTAAATTATACTCTCACACAAGAACCAGACAGGCATCAATCAGAAGACGAAGAAAGATGAAAACAATTAAAGGCATTGCAGGATTTTCAAGAATATTAAGATCTCTTAATTAAATAGTATAATTCAACTTGTTATTGTTGGCAAACCTAATGTATCAAGAAGTAAATAAATACATGATCCTTTTTTCTTCAGTTAGCTTCAATAATAAATACAATGAAAAAGTAATCACATTATTTATTTTTATTTCATTCAGTTTTAGCGTAAAACAATGTAATGTACAGTAAAAACGTAATAAAAAAAATAATGTGAAAAATGTTTCATTATATTTATAAAATTAAGCGAACGAAATATAAAAGTATCATATATTGATTTATTTAATATAATTATTAATATTAGTTCATATAGTTGTTAATTTTTTAATAATAGTTAATATAATTGTTAATTTAGGAGAGATAGGTGGTTCCCAACACACACAAAACCATACAGTTCAAACTCTTCTCAACCACATTCATGTATGGAATGTGTGTGTATGTATGCATGTATGTATATATATATATATATATATATATATATAATATAATATATATATATTATTATTTATATATACATATATATACATAATATATACATATATATACTATATATACATAATATACATATTATATACATATATATACTATATATAATATATATACATATATATACTACATTATATACATATTATGTTGTGTGGGTGTGTGGGTGTATATATGTGCCATAGATGTATACAGGTCTGTGTATGTTTATATATTTGAGTGTATATGCTCGAAAGAAGTGCATGTAATTGTTTTTAAATATGGTAAATTGTTTTTATGTATTAATAAATGTTATAATTGTAAAACTGTAGGGTTGTGGCTACCACTTGGCAATCAGCCAATTGTAGCCAAATAATATTATTATTATATTATATTTATAACCACGATGAAGTGCAATGGCGAGGCAAGGGAATGCGCTTGTATCTTGGCCCTCGAGGTGGCGTTCGCGTGTCACAACCTCTAGCGGCGCAGCGGCACAGTAACCAACGAAGTGAACTGGAAGTGAGGTGGCGTCCGATAGGTCGCCCACAGCGCGTCACAAACAGACGAGCGACCGGAAGCGAGGCGCGGCCAGGCCGGACGCGGCGTGGGATCTGATTACGGCATTTATGAATGAGTTGCGGAACGCTGGTCGTGTGCGGCGCTGACCTTTCATGCGGATTTACATCTGCGGCAGTTGTGAACGAAATCGTTGCATTCATTTATTTCTCTCTAGAAATGGCATTTCACACCTGGCATTACAGTCTTGGTTATAAAACGAGGTTTACGTTCTGCTCTAGAACTGAGTCTCTGAAACAGATTTGTTGAAATTACGAATTGATTGAAATACTTTTACTTTTGGAGCAATAAAAGTTATTATTATATATTCTTCGTGGAAATATGCTTCAGCAGTAAAACGTATAAAATATGTTGTTGGAAATGCTGGAGAAAATTCCCCATATTTTACGTTTTATTTATGAAATATTCATAGTATTATTTGAGACATCATTATGATACACGGTTTATGCAATCTCATATCGGAAATAAATGAGCATTAGAATTTTGAACATTATTTTGAATGAGAATTTTGAACATTAAAACTAACGAATTGCCAAAAACGGATGAAATACGCTATCATAAATAAATATAGCTCGTTTCTCCTACTGTCTGCTGCGAGACATTATTTTCGTATTCGTTAATATGAAAATATATATTTACGTCTTTTGAAGTAATTTGAATACGATATTCAGTATTGTGCTGACGATCGAGAAATTGAATTATGTTAGTGATAAATACGGAAGAAAATTTACTACTGCATTTATTAGTATAAAATTTCCAATTTTTGGGGTAGTCTAACGAGCTAACTTATAAAAAAAACGGTCTCCTGATAAGTATGAATGATAAGTTTTATACTTACTGAATAATTTTATGTATAGGGGTATAAAAATACAGTGAAATTACCATATGAAATAATAAAAATAGTTTATATTTCGTGTTAATTTACTTTCGTATACATTAATTAGAGAAATGAAACTTATAAAGAACATTTCACTTTCCAAAGTTAGGGTCCTTATTTGGATCACATTAAACTCTTCCAACTGGAACACATGTCTTTAATTAATCATAAAAAAAACATGGAATGTTATAATTTAGTAAGCGCTGAGCGCAGTATATAAATTATTGTGCAATTTCCCATTGTATGAGAAATATTCATCTCCGTCTTCGTTAATAGCAGGAACAATTCTTTCACGTTCATTGAACGTAAACTGAAAACAATGGATCACGTCACAACAAGCACAAAAATAGTACTTTCCTTTTCAACACATATTACCCATCTATTTACTAGCAGTTCCAGCAAAGCTGTCTCAACCGTTGAGCGTTTGTCAGCGAGTGCTTTTGCTCAACAAAATATTTAATGAGTCACAGAGTTCTGAAGACAACGAGTCTTTAGCCCCAGTAGTCGCCGCTATCGTACGAGCGCTGCCACCAGGGTTGAGGCTGCAGCGGCAGAGATCTGCTCGTCTTGGGAGCAGCGTAGTTGTTGTTGTTGTTGTTGTTGTTGTTGTTGTTGTTGGGCGGGGGCAGGGGCTGCTGCGTGTACCAGGGCGTCGTTGGTTTGGAGTAGGTGTACCCGTGGTTGGGCTGGTGCGTGTTGGGGAAAGTGCCGGTTCCGTGTGTGCCCTGCGGCGTTTGCGTCCCGTGCGTGCCGTGAGTTCCCTGAGGAGTCTGCGATCCGTGAGTGGTGCCGTGGCCGCCGTGCGGGAAGCCGTGTTGGTGGTTGTGGGTTTGGTCGAAGCTGGATGGCGGGACGGCAGTGGGCATCTGGCCGAAGTGGATGTGGTCCCGGTTGTGGTAGCCGCCCTCGTGTCCGTTGTACCCGTTGAACCCGTTGTGTCCGTTGTTGAAGCCGTTGTTGTTCCCGTTGGCGTCCGTGGCCCCGAAGCGGTTGCCCACGTCCCGCTTCCAGTCCTTCTTGATGAAGTCGGCCACCCGCTCGCCGATCATGATGGCCGGGGCGTTGGTGTTGCCGGAGATTACAGTGGGCATAATGGACGCGTCCGCAACCCGCAGGCCGTTCACCCCAATTACCTTCAGTTCCGGATTCACCTACGAGCAAATAGGCTGTTGAAACATCTGTGACAATTACGTTACGTTTCTATGGAAACTATTCAAACTTTCTATTTCACCTGTTTTCATTATTAACAATTATCATTTTCATTTATTTTTATTTTTTGATATTACGTAACGAATCTTTGTGAATAAAAAAATGTGTATTTATATGCTTTAAAAGTCAGTCAACGAAATCTGCCTCTGAAGAGCGTTTTTGGAAACTCTTGTGTTGGAGAAAGCTAATAAAAATAACTAGAAAACTTGAGTTTATTTTTATTAAATAATTCATAACAAAGTTATGAAAAAATGTATAATAGCAAAGTTGTATTAAGACTAGTGCTTTTATCCTGACTTTTCTGTATTAAACCCTCTTATAGTTAGATTTCTTTGTCTCCTGAAAATTTTCTTTTTTGGAATCGACTCGGTTACCTGTAGAATCATAACTACAAATTATACACGCTGACACAATTTTGAGATATGCATTTAAGTCTATAAAGCGTCTTTTCATATTTTTTCACATTAATGGTTGTAATATTGTAAATAATATAGTATTTCTGCTCTGAAGAAGCCCACGATGAAAAATGCGCTAAGCAATTAGAATTTTGTCTACTGAGTTACTTTTATGGCATTTGTTATTGCTAAAGCGTTTTTAATAGACATTGAAGAGAATTTCTCGAGAGAAGTATTTATTTGATCTATGAAATGTAATTTCTTTGGAGGCAAATTCAAAATATTGTTGTTTTTTTGTGACATTTTTACCAATCCCGTCTTAATTTAGTTGAGTATTATTTTGTGTAAACAACTTTCCATAGTGGCTTTGTGTGCTCCAGTTTGTAAATGTTTACCTTTTCTTCTCCTCATCCGTTGTAAACATGTATTACAGAGCATATTGTGATGGGAAAGAATGGCTCTGAAATAGTAACATCATTCATTGCAATCAGTATTGTAAATGGCACTTTCACGCTTTCCCCTTTTCGCTCCAATTACTCTCAGAATGCTTTATTGTGTCACATTTTTTGTCTCTAAATTACAGTTAACTCGCTCGCAGTGTAGAACACAAGATAACATAATTTATAACTGTTATTTCACTTAATTGCATTTCGGCAAACAACATCTCTCTCGAATGAATTTGCCGAGGAGAGAGTGAGTGAGAGAGAGACCAAAATGGAACGAGAGGAGAGAGACGGAAAAGGAGAAAAAGAGAGTGAGAGAGAGTGAGAGGGAATGAGAGGGAGTGAGAGACCGAGAAGAAGTAAAAGAGACGGAGAGGGATAGGATCAGAGGAGGTAAATAGAGAGGGAGAGAGAGATCAAGCGAGAGAGCATAAACAGGCGAGAGGGGTAGAGTAGGAGGAAAATGTAGTGAGAGGGAGTGGAAGAAAGACATCAATCGAGAGGGAGTAGGAGCGAGTACAAGGGGATGAGAGAGAAAGAGATTGTGAGAGCCGAACGAGGCAGAGAAGAAGGGAAATGTAGCGATGTTAAGCGTAATAGATCAAAGGGGAGTGATATGCGAGACGAGAGTGAGCAAGGGAGGGGGAATGAAGCGAGTAAGTTCGAGAAAGAGTAGGTGAAAAGAGGAAGGTAGAGAGAGAGAGAGAGAGAGAGAGAGAGATAGAGAGAGAGATAGAGGGAGGTAGGGAAATTATCGAGAGAAGAGCACAGAGAGGGAAGGAGATAGATGGGGAGAGAGAGAGGGAGAGAGAGAAAGAGAGAGATAAAGAGAGAAGGACAGAGAGAGAAAGAGAGAAGGAGAGAGGGCGAGAGAGGGCGAGAGAGGGCGAGAGAGGGAGAGAGAGGGAGAGAGAGGGAGGGAGGGAGAGAGATGGAGAGAGATGGAGAGAGGAAGAGAGATGGAGAGAGATGGAGAGAGGGAGAGAGGGAGAGAGGGAGAGAGAGGGAGAGAGACGGAGAGAGAGGGTGAGAGAGAAGGTGATAGTGAGAGAGTGAGAGAGAGGGGGAGGGAGAGTGAGAAGAGAGAGAGCGAGAGAGAGAGAAAAAGAGAGAGAGAGAGCGAGAGACTCACCACGGCGTCAGGGTCGTCGTCCAGCCCCATGCGGCAGGAGCCCGCCTGGTGGTTCTCGGGGCCCGTCTGGCTGCGGATGGCGCAGTCCCAGTACTCGTCCGAGGCGAAGGTGAGCTGCTCGCAGCCGGGCGCCGGGGTGCGGTCCAGCTCGAAGCCGTAGCCCTCCTTCAGCACCCTGTGCGCACGGAGAAAGCGAGCTCACGTCACTGATGTTCTTTAGGGGAAATTATGCAGACTTTCGCTTCAGATTAAACTCAATGTTGTAATAAATTGTCGATACTATATTTTCATTAGTGTTAGAGGAATTGTTCGTCTTTGTTGTTCCATTATATACAAGTTAACTTTATTACTTAAGACTATTATTATTATTATTATTATTATTATTATATAATACAGAACCGTTATTCAAACACGGAGTTATTTTTCAAATTATGTAATATAATTTATTGTAAATTAAATGACCTTTGGAAGAGAATGATGGCCATTGAAAGCTAACACAAATTTTATTCGAAATCAGTTTTATTACTTAGGTCAGCGTATCTCTCCATAATTGAAATTTACTAGGGTTGATGTATTGACATTGTAGTTTATATAGTTATGATTTACGTTCCAACTCTGTCTATAGATATTTTACTGTTTCAATTCCAGGACATTCGTTCGGTACGTAAACCAGCATGTCTCCCGAGTTAACTTGAAGTACCACAGTACCCATTTTTATTGCCTTTTTTAGACATAATTAACAAATGTAATTAACAAATGTAATTAACTTACTATCAGAAATGAACCACCAATAAATTTCCATTTACATATATTTTATTAGTACATATTTAGTGACTTGAATATCAGAGATGGATCCGGATAAACAAACGTGTGAATATTTTGCTTTTCGTTTTTTCGTTCAATCCATATCTTCCAGAATATCAATCGTCAGTTTCGTACTACAGAACCTTCCATCAGATTAATACACAAATGTTGCGGCCACTTAAGAGGCCATTCGCAAGGCGACCGTCTCGAGAGCCAAGCAGCCGCGCACTCAAGCGGAACTCGCTTGAACTCGCGCCGAATCAGCAAGTCACTTCTCGCGCGGCTTCGTTTCCCGCTACCCGCGGTCCCTTGTGTTGGAGGTAAGTTATTGCCGCACATCAAATTTCTCATTGACGTAATGGCGGACACTAGTTATCGCATCGAACAATGGACACGCGGACTAGTAAACCGTCCACATAATCGAAATATCGCGGTGTCATAATTTTGATATACTGGTCCCGACATCCACGTGATTGCGATTAGTGTCACTACTTCGTAAGTTTCAAATTTCCCATTCTGCGAATGGTAGAAGCGAAACGAACCCAGAATCCGCATAATTCATTCGAGGTATACGTGGCTTTCAGCGATGTCTGTGGCTTCACATTCATGTCAATTATTGTGTAGTTACCTGGGTAGGAATGGTCATTGCTTTGATGGCGTAACACCGACTGGATAATCCTGTTACAGCTGGAAATCCCTTCAGTGAGCATGGGCATTCAAAAGAAAATGCTTTAAAGCTATTAGTGTTATTAATGAACCTTATCTTTGGCTGTTTCAAATAGACAAAATTTATATTTTGGGTAATTTAGAGGCTGAACAAAAACCACATATATTATGAAATGTATACTTACATTATCATTAGTAAATACATTCATATTTAAAGTGTAATTTTATAGTTAATTGACTGTTAAGTAATTCTTTCAACATATAAAGTGTAATTTCTGTATTTAAAACATACAACTATGTATGTATAAAATGACGTGCAAATCACTGTCATAATTCTTTTCGATATCTGTACAAAATATTGGATGTATCGATTTTGTATTATTTAAGACATTTTGGATACAAAGTTACTCGTATCCGTAATCCGGACACTGCAGTGATATTTGAAATTTCATATGTGCTTTTTTAGAGACCTGGTTTTGCTGCTCAGCAGTTTGATTCGCCGATTATTGTCTTGCTATAAGGATGAGGAGCTTGCATTTGCAATGTGCTATATTAATAATTATTATACTTCTAAGTACTACCGGATAGGAAATTGTACTTTATTTATATATAAGAGAAAATAAATTTGTAAATAGGTTGATTTAGGTGGAAATAACGTCAGCATATATCTAAACGGAACGTGAAAGTGTTCTGTATTTTCCCATGCGGCCAATAAAGAACAGTTCGTATTTCCGAGTGAGAAAATGACCTCTCGCATCTAAGAGCTGTGCTTCTAGTCTCGGAAAAGTTTTCTTAAAATGTATTTCTAAAATCACACTACTTACATATACATGCTATATCTTTGTCTCTTCTCTAATGCATCATCTGCCTCTGAAGGCGAATTTGGAATGACATTTCGCCCTGAGGTGTCGCAACGTCGAAACGTTGGTACCTCTGCCTAGAAAGCGGCGTGTCTCGGTCAGCCAAGTGTCTACTAATCTGGATCCGCCCCCTGCGTCCATTTCCGGTTCGCTTAACCGGTTTAGGATCGGAAACGATTGGTAACATGAATGTTTTACATGTCGTATGACATCTTTAAGATGGCACGGAGCCAGGGGCTATTAGCTCGCACCTATCAGGAAGGTGTCTCGACGTGCAGGTCGGAGGCCGTCTCTCAGATGACAGCGTTCATTCCGCGACCCTGTCGCAGGGCATCTCAAAGATGACGGCGGATTTCCTTCATATTTCTGGATAAGCTCTCGATCCAACAATGATATATTATTAGGAATTGGAAATAGACAGCCCCGCCCATCTGACCACTCACCTGGTCCCCTCGCGGCGAAGCGCGATTTTCACGCCCTCGATGAGCAAGCGCGCATCCTGATCGTGGTACGAGATATAAGAGAAAATAATTTTGTAAATAGGTTTATTTAGGGAGGAAAGAACGTCAGCATGTATCTAAAAGGAGCACGAAAGTGTTCTGTGATTGTCGCATGCGACCGATAAAAAACTGCAGTTTGTGTTTCCGAGGGCGAATCTGACCTCCCGAATGTGACACCTGCGCCGTCGAATCTTTTCTTTTGACGTTTTCTTCAATTCAGTTCTGAAACCAGATTATTTACATATAACTTTATTCCTGCTTTGATACATCACCTGCCTTTGAAGGCGAATTTGGAATAGCATTCTAGTTCTGCGTTTTCAACTCCGCGAACTCTCTTACTTCCTCTGATCTATTTCACATTGATACCTCCGGTTCTACGTCTGTAGACTGTTCTCTCCAAACTCCTTCCAGATCTTCAATAAACGATGTTTTTTAATCTCAGACCCTGGAATCTTAGTAAATCTTTAAAATATGAATTTGTACTCTGCAATCCTTTCAGTTATTTTCTTCTTAGGAATACTTCTAAGTTTGATTCCTTCCTTGTAAATATTTAAAGAATTCTTAACCTACCGCTGAGAATCTTTAAAGTGTTATCATTGTTTGTTATGGTAAGGTAGGTATTTGACTAATATTATTTATTATATATAGTATATATACATTAGTTATTCCTTCACACCCCCCCCCCCCCCCCCCCCCCCCCCTAATTTATTCACCTTGAGAGTTATATCTTCAAAGCTTTTTTTTTTTCGTTGTCTTGTCCAAAACTAAACGAGACTACTATATTTGACTAACTATTTTCGCCAAATAATTTCATATCTTAAAAAAGCCAATTTTCTTAAAAATATTAATAGGACGAGTGTCATGTATATTATTTACTTCCACAAAATTTAATTTGAATTAATTCACCTAAACGTTGGTTTTGCTGTACAGAATCATTGGTAAAACAGTGCTTATTACGAAATAATGTTAGTCCGACAACAAGTAATGCGAAGGAATTGTGTGGCGTTATGTAGATTATACAGCCGCTGCAGTGAAGTGTTAACGCGGCCTCTTCTCCTTCTGTTAGGCCAAAGTTAAAGAAGGATTAGCCCGTATTTGTGCGTTATGTAGAGATAACAGCCCAGTTGCAGTGAAGTGCTTAACGCGCCTGTACCTCCTTCCGTAAGGCATCGGGCCGGGGAGCACCTGCGGGCGGTGCGGCGTGCCGTGGTGCAGGACCGAAGATGGCGTCGGCCGAACCTGCACAACCCACGTGGGCCTTCTTTCGTGGCCTTCAACATGCGCCAGGAGAACGACACCTTCGACCTGACTTGGGGTCCGCCATGAGTACGATGCTCAACCGCACCGGCCCCATGCCAGCACGGCCTCTCGCAGGTGCGTAGCGTGTAGGCGCGTCTTCAAAAGATGACCACGCGGATTGACCCAGAATCATCCTGCCAAACTCCGAAATATATGCAAGTTCAGTCTCTTTTCTTTTCCCTCCCTCCTCCCCTAATTCAAAATCGTTTCAGATCTTACATTAACAAGTAGATATTTAACAGTTAAAATTAATAAATATAACAACACAATAATACTATATTTTTGTAGCTTCTAAATAGATGAAATATTCAACAGTTATCTGGGTCGTTAGGCTTCCGCGCCGGAGGCAATGCATTTCTTGGGTATCCGGGATGACGCGGTCTCGTCAATGTTACTGACGCTTCGACCATCTTGCTGTGGCCCTCTTCGAGCTATTGACGAGCGAGTTATCATCCGAATAGCCAATTAATGCAAAGAAAAGGTTACGACTATTTCAGGCCCGGATAATGAACGTTTGCCGTTCATATCAATTTTGATGAAGCACGTATTATGTCACATGAAACAACTGATTCGTTTTAAACTTAAACAAAAATACTTGATAAGTGTTGAGACCTTAAAAATATCTTAATTCCTATCCGCACAACTGCTGATATTTTTTAGTGTAAACTTATGCTGTCCCCCATGAAGTACATTCATGTGTATATCTCATCATATTTTCCGCGTCCATTATCCATTATACGTTTTTTACCGTGAAATCTCTTAGCCCTCCTTTGTCATCAGTCTTGTATCTAAATTTATTTCTATATATTTTCATCTTGAATTATAGTTTTTAAAAACTGTCGTGTTCTACTGCCTAGCAGAGTATATAATCTGATGTATATGATTCGATTGAAAAATCAATATTTTAAGAATTAATAAATGGAAATAGAATTACTAGGGCTTCTATATTCGTGTAAAAAGCGTTCTCCGAGAACCTTAATTATATTGTCATTATATTCCTTTACCCAACGCTTTTAACCTAGTACCTTAGAAACAGTGATATGGAGCTGCACAGATTTAAAAAACACACATTAATACCACAAACCACATTCCCAAAACGTATTCGTTACGTGTGTTTGGTGCAAAACATTGCGTTTGTATTTCTTAGGAAAGCTATGGTTTTGCTCTGTTTCCTGGAAAATAAAAGATACATTTTCCTCTTTTATTTCACATCTAAAGCTGTAAACGTCCGACACTATGAATTCTACGAAGGATAAAAATATTTCCAGAGAATCCACAAACCAAACAAACAATACGGAAATGAGAAATTGTACAGGAGTAAATGGTCTCTCGTCAACGGAGAAGCAAAATGTATTCAGACTGCCAGTGCCTTTCTACGCTTAATAATTACCAGCCCCTCCATAGCAATTATTAATAAACCAAAAATATCATGCATGTAACTGAAATTTATTTTTTCTTTAATTACAAGTATATTCAAATGTGCATAAATGTTTATAATATTCAGTCTATATCATTCCTTTGTTTTGTTACAATGATATGCAATATCAGACTGTCAACTGTGTATATATCTAATCGTAAAAATCCACATGTGAATATAAAGTAAAATACTGAACATTTACGCAAAAATTTCTTGCATTATTGCCTGGGGACAATAATAAATCAAATTATCAGAGACAAGGTACTTCTCTTCCCCAATTGGAAATAAATAAAAATAGGAGATATTCTTCACGAATACTGTTTCAAATCTCACTTGTGCGATAACATATTTGAAACTTATAACAGATATTGACTCTGCGCACAGAAGAGGTGGATACGGTTTCAAATGTTTATACAGAGGGACCAGAAAGTTTCGCATGTACTTGCAGGTTATGCCGCGAGAAAATTACAAACTGGAACAAAGCAAGATATTACAAAACTTTAATAGTTTATTACCTTTTGCGAATTCCTAAACGGTTGGAGTCGAAAACACATTTTTGTTATATCTGAACAAATCAATAACTCACACAGTCTTTATTGCCTCATATTATGTGACTGGAATATGCAGTACGATGTACCGTGGAATGACCAAAATTGCGACGATATGGAAAGAAAGTTGACATTTATTGTGTTAAGAAGTGTAATAAACTCTATTTACACTTTTTCTCTTAGATTTTTTTGCGACTGTGATAGAATATGAAAAATGAAATAAAATTTAACCTCGTGTGTTCTCTCTTATCGAGTTACAAGTGTACAAGTTAAAAAACGAATCTTCTGGCCGTAGGGTGTTCATGATTGTAACGATGAAAGTTGCACTTCTCTGAAACACGCTGAATAAATGACATGAAAGATGAGATGATAATTGAGAGGAGAGATAGAAGGCAGAGAGTGACCGAAAAGCCCCCAACCACGCCGCTCTGGTGGTTCCGCAGGTGACGGCCATCCTCAACTCCCGCTTCGCCGACCGCGGGGCGACCAGCCGGACTGCAGTTCTTCTTCGCGGCTAAACCTGGCAACTGCGCGCGCACGGGAGGTGCGCGATGCGCGACGCCGCGTGCGCCGACGCGCGCCGTTCGGTGCTGGTGGTTGCCGGTGTGCCTGCAACCCGCGCAAGCCGCGGCCGGCCTCGAGCTCGCCTCCGCCGACCCGCTCGCCGCTTCGGCTCATTTCGGCCAACTACCTCCACGACGGGGGGGACCAGGCGCCGCACGCTCGTTCGGAGGGCGTGAAATCGCCCTGCGCCTCGGGACGAGACCAAGTGAGTGGCCAAGGTGGGCGGGCTGCCCGCCTTGGTGCGACGAACGTCGGGGCTTAACGCTCGGAAACGACGCCAGGGGCGTATGCAGACAAGTAGCTACTTGGCGCTTTCTAGGCACCAGGTCCAACGTTTCAGACCGGCCATTTTTGCGACCTTCCTCAGGGCAAAATGCTATTAACCAAATTCGCCTTCAAAGGCAGGTGATGTATCAAAGCTAAGGATAAATTATAATGATAAATAGTCTGGTTCAGAATTGAATTGAGAGAAAACGTCAAAAAGAACAGATTCGACGCGGCTGCGGGGTGTCACATTCGGGGGGGGCAGTTTCGCCCTCGAAACACATAGACTGCAGTTTTGTGTTATGGGCGGTCGCATGCGACAAATCACGAACACTTTTCCGTGCTCCTTTTTAGATACATGCTGACGATTCTTTCCCTCCTAAATCTAACCTATTTAAACTTAAAAATTTACTATGTATATCTCTGGACGACGACTAGGGTGCCCGCCGCTCCCGAGGCGTCCAAGATCGCCTTGCGCCTCGGGGAGCCAAGTGAGTGACAGGGGCGGGCTGCGCGCCTTGTGGCGACCCGGGGCTTAAGCGCTCGGAAACGAACGCAGGGCGATGCAGACAAGTAGAACTTGCCGCTTTCTAGCACAGGTACCAACCGTTTCAGACGCCATTGGCGACCTTCCTCAGGGCGAAATAGGTGAGTGTTATCAGAGAAAGGAAAAATTAGATTTGAGAATGGAGTTAAGAAAACTTTCCGAGACTCGAAGCCGTACCTGTCAGATTCGGAGAGGTTATTTTTGCCTTCGGAAACACGAACTGCAGGTTGCTTTCGGTTCGCATTGCGACAATCGCCAGGAACACTTCGTGCTCCTTTTAACATTACATCTGACGTTCTTCCTCCAAAAATCTACCGATTAAAAAAAATTCTCTTATATCTCCGGACGACGACCAGACGCGCCCCAAGCTCCGTCCAGAGCGTGAAAATCCCCTGCGCCTCGGGTAGACAAGTGAGTGCAGGTGGCGGAGCTGCGCCTTGGGGCGACGTCGGGGCTTAAGCGGCTCGGGAAGACGAACGCAGGGGCGTATTCAACAAGCAAGCTAATTGCTGTCCTGAAGACAGCACTTTTTATTTATGCATAGGTACCAACGTTTCCAGACGCCATTCTGCCACCTTCCTCCGGAAAGCGAAAATTCATTCAAATTCGCCTTCAAAAAGGCATGGGTATGTTCAGAGCAGTCGGCAAGATAGTTCACGGACATGTCCAGATAGAAAAGACTCGAATCGCATCTGTCAGATTCGGGGGTTGGATGTTCGGACACGGAAACCAAAACTGCGGGTTTTCTATCGGCCCATCGATAATCACAGAACAGTTTCACGTTTCGTTTAACACATGCTGACGATCTTGTCCTATCAAATCTACCTATTAAGACCTTATTTGTTTATTATATCTCTGGACGACGTACCGATCGACGCCCGCACGCCTTCGTCGAGGGCGTCAAGTCGCCCTGGCCGCCTTCGGAAGACCAAGGTGAGTGGCCCAGTGGCGGGGCTAGCCCGCCTTGGGCGACCGTCGGGGCTTAAGCGGGCTCGGAAAGAACGCAAGCGCGTATCAGACACGTATGCTAATTGCCGCTTTCTGCCAACAGGGTACAACGTGTCAGACCTATTTTGCGACCTTCCTCAGGGCAAA